TTCCCCCGCGCCTCCCACAGCTCTTCAGATCTTATCTCTCTCTCTCTCTCTGTGTGTGTGTGTGTGTGTGTGTGTGTGTGAGTCTCGACACAGAGAGGAAACACACATTTTCGTATCAGTGGACATACACATGTAGACACATGCTCAAACACTAGAATATTCAACACTAATATTCACAAAACCATCATTCTAATTAGAAAACTGTTCACTTTTTTGCCCAAAATCCACAGTTATTGGTGAATCAAATATAAAATAAAATAAAAAAATGATCTATATTTATTTATCTCATTTCTCATTTTTATTTAGTTCAACTAAAATAACTAAAACTGAAATAAAAATGAATAAAAACTACTACAACCATAACTAAAATGAAAACAGGAAATATAAAATAAAATTGTGTCTCAATGGTGTATAAATGAAAATATGACATTAAACATGCCTGAACCTTTTTAAGTGTACCCAATTTCTTTGGATTCACACTATACTTGGATCTGGATCACTTCAGTTAGCTTTCCATTCACACTGTTAACAAATATTAGCCACAATATTTAGTTCATTTGGAGTGTTCACATGCAGACTGCACTGAAACAAATGTGAAATTATATAAATGATTAATAATGTATTTATTTATAAATGTAGTTTAATTTTATTATTGAAATTTTTTATTAAGAATAACTTAACATTTTATTTCATAATAATAATAATTTTATTTTATTTGTTACTATATGATTCCCTATATGTAATAGTTTGGATAACTTTACTATTATTATAAAACATGAAAAATAGTCACATTAAAGAATAATTAGATATGCACAATCTGGTAGTGTAAGCAGCTCTTGGTCTTGGCATCATAACATGATGATTTCTGAACGAGCTGTTTTTATTGTATTTTCAGTATAATGTTGTGAGTGTTCAAGTATGTCACGCAGAACATGAAACCTGTTTTCCATGCTGTGACTCTTTGTTTGTTGTTGTGGGAGACTTCGGTTACTATGTGTAATTCCTGTAACACAGCCCCTAATTTAATATAATATTGAGCCATCTGACTTTAAATGAGATATAGCAGTGTGTGTGTGTGTGTGTGTGTGTGTGTGTGTGTGTTCGTGCGTGGTTACGGGAAGTGTGTGTAACAGATTGAGTGTCATGGCAATGTTTACGGGTCCAGACGGGGACTAAGGCCATTATTTGGACTTCCCTTCTGCCCCTGTGCCAGAGCTGATCATCTCTCTCTCTCTCTCTCTCTCTCTCTCTCTCTCCAGCATGTGACTGCCATCCGGTGGGAGCTGCAGGTAAAACGTGTAACCAGACGACGGGTCAGTGCCCGTGTAAAGACGGGGTGACTGGCATCACATGCAACCGCTGTGCTAAAGGGTATCAGCAGAGCCGGTCGCCCATCGCCCCGTGCATTAGTGAGTGGTACACACGTTTGTTTATCTGTCTACATGAACATGTATTATAAACTTATATTGTTTTTATAAAAACAATGACTAATACTAACCCTAAATGACACCCAAACCTGACTGAAAAGTTTTGCATTACAAAAAAAAGCATTATTCACTTTTTTTATGTATTATTTTTACGAATCAGGAGGCCCAAGGTAATGATGTATAATTTTGTGTCATTGAGTGTTATAGTTTTTTATTTAGAATTGTATATTTTTATATTTAGTTGTTATTTTTAGATTTTATGTTTTCATTTTATTTTAATTTTAATTTTAATCAATTTAATTTCATTTTAATATATAGTTTTAGTCATTTTTATTTCATTTTTTTTAGTTAAACTAAGCTTCAAAAGATAATTGTTTGCAACTTCCTGAAATAAAACACTAATTTTTATTTTATTTTATTTCAGTTAATGTTTGTTTTTTATGGAAATGTTTATTTTAAATGAAAATAGTTTTTATGGTTTTCAAGTGTTCACATGCAAGACAAAACTGCAAACGGCATTGAGACTTGAAGCAAATGTGAATTCATGGAAATTATATTTTTTTTATTTAATGTAATTTATTTTAACTTAATTTTAAATTCATTTTTATTTTATTGTATGTTTTGGTCACATTATTATTTACAAACGTTTTTTTTTTTTGTCGTGTCATAGTGTTCATGTTTGGATAATTTTACCAATGTTATAAAATATGAAAAAATATTTCATATATAATAATAATTTTTCTGATTCAGAATCTCCCCAAAGGGAAGTTGTGTCAGATTTCTCACTTATATATATATATATAACATACATATATATATATATATATATATATATATATATATATATATATATATATATATATTGTCCTCAAACTATAGACAAGTATGCACTTCTATTCTTGGTATCCTCGTCTTAAGTGAAATCCACAATCAGATATTTTCTGATTGGTTGAGCAGCTTTGTCTGGAAACTAAGTGCGTCATGTCTGGTTGGGACACTGATATATGTGGAGAACTTTTAGGGACAATTTTGTCTTCAAAGTTTAGCTAAGTGAACGTATGGTTAGCTGTCACACATAGTAAGGCAGCAGGTGTGTTTATCACAGTCTGTCAATCAAACACCTTCTCCACACCTGCACATTTAGATTTGGGTTCATGCTTTTATCTAAGTGACTTACATTGTATCAATCCCATGACCTTTAGTGTCAAATCTACTGTTTGAGCTACAGGAATGCACACTGACACTGACGTCATCCTATATGTGTCTTTCAGAAATCCCTGTTATAAAGCCGACGGCTGTGATCAGCACTACAGAGGAGCCTGCAGGTTAGTGCACAGACACACACAGACACATTCAGGACAGAGACAGTCAGAGGAAGTACTGCTCACTTTTGTGTGGTGTATCACTGCTGGAAAGAGGCGGAGAACTCGCAATCTGTCCTTGTCATGAGTGAAAGTGAATCAGAGGTGTGTGTGAAAGCAGAGAAGTGAAGGAATTGTGTGTGTTTTCAACAGCTCTTCTGGGTCAATGAACACTTCACACAGTGTGCCACATGAGCGCTACACACACACACACACACACTAAAGTCATGCCAACTATTGCAAACACTCTAAAACACTCACAATACCCTGTTGAAAACACCAGGAAAGGCTTCCTAACGAGCTTAACCAGCAAATGGTCCTTGGTAAACCAACTTTACCAATTACTGCTAGTTCACCAGCATTTTGGATGGATGGATGGATGGACGGACGGATGGATGGATGGACGGATGGATGAATGGGTGGATAGATGGATGGATGGATGGATGGATGGGTGAACAGATAGATAGATGGATGGATGGATGGATGGATGATAGATAGATGGACAGGTAGATAGATGGATGGATGGGTGAACAGATAGATAGATGGATAGATGGATGGACAGGCAGATAGATGGATGGATGGGTGAACAGATAGATAGATAGACAGACAGACAGACAGACAGACGGATGGATGGACAGGCGGATAGTTGGATGGATGGATGGACGGACGGATGGATGGATGGATGGGTGAACAGATAGATGGATGGATAGACGAATGGATGGATGGACGGATGGATGGACGAACGGATGGATGGGTGGATGGATGAGTGAACAGATAGATAGATAGATGAGTTAACTATTCAAATACAATGCTGAGTTTATGGTTTAGTTATTTTAGTGATTTAGACATGTTAGTGTGTTATTAGAAAGAGTTTATTCAAAGTGCATTTTAATTCTAATAACATTTTAATTCAAACATTTCTGTTTTCAGATTGTGACTCATACTGTAAACCACTGAAGGGAAATCTCAAGATAAACATGAAGAAATACTGCAAAAAGGACTACGGTACAGTTCCTTTATCTTTCATTCTGTTCTTTCCTTTTAGTCCCTTTATATTTAAGAAGCATTTGTTGTGATCTAATGCAAAATCAAGCATTAATCGTATCTGGTGTAATGTCTTTGTGTGTGTGTGTGTGTGTGTGTGTAGCTGTCCAGGTCAGTGTGTTGGACATGGAGACCATCGGTGACTGGGCCAAGTTTGCCATCAGCCTGGTGTCTGTGTACAAGAGCCGCGGAGAGCCGCTGAAGAGAGGCAATCACGTGTTGTGGGTCCATATGAAGGATCTGGCCTGCAAATGTCCGCGGATACACATGGGCAAACGCTTCCTCATCCTGGGCACGAGTGAGGGCGCAGCGAACCCTGAACGCCCGGGACTGCTGGCCGACAAAAACAGCCTGGTCATTCAGTGGAGGGACATTTGGACTCGACGACTGCGCAAGTTCCAGCGCAAAGAGAAGAAAGGCAAGTGCAGCAAAGCATGATGGGATGGCAGGGAACTCTTTATTATTGACCACTGTCCTGTGTACGGGGGAGACTGCGAGAGCGAACTCTGCGTATCGTCGTTTCCAGTGCGTTATTTGATGTCATCCTGTTGGTCAGCCTTCTAAAGGGACCGCTAAAAAGACTGTTTCTAATCACACACCACTGAATCCCTCACACACACACACACACACGCTGCAGTTTGACTGAGCTGCACACGGACTGATTCCATTTCCTCTCCAAGCCACAATTTAATCAATCAAATATGAAATACGTCCTCAAATTACAAATCAGGGGAACGGTTCTGTCCACATCTGGTTCGGTTCTTCTAGTCTTTGTGGCCTTCATCAGATGGTCACACTGGTGTTCACCACATGCTGCTCACTTCAGTTCTGAAAACCTCAAAATCTTCATCATCATCATCATCGTCAGCCTGGATCATTTCACTTTTGAAGAGCCTATTAAGCGCGCTCGTATCTGTGGGTTGTGTGTCGTACGTGTGGATGTGTGTACTTTGATATGGAAGGATCTAGTGCAGAATAGAGCAATGTCCGTTAGCAGACAGAAACATACTAGGCGCAAGTATGCAAATGCACGAATGCTTGGCAAACATAGTTTCATTTTGCATTTTTAACATGCTTTTTTGAGTTACTGTGGCAGGGACAAATGTCTGTCATTAAAGGGATAGTTCACCCAAAATTCAACCAAAATGAATATTTTGTCATTTTACTCGCTCTCATGTTGTTCCAAACCCATAGTGTGTTATTCTATTCTGTGGAACGCAAGAGAAAAATTTCCCTCTTTTCCATATAAAAACAGGCTGTTAAACTCCATAAGATGACAAAAAAGCACTGTCAAAGAAATCCATTTAGAGACTGAGTTAAATACAAGCACAACTGAGAGAAGATTATTAGTTAATAATGACTTTTTAAAAGCTTCGTATGGCTTCAGATGACTTGTATTATAGAGCATTAGTTGTGTGGACTGCTTTTGTGTTTTTTTGTTTTGTTTTTTTCTTAACAGCCAACATGAGGTGATCAAATTTTGGTATCCTTTTTAAAGGGATAGTTCACCCAACAATCAAAAATCCTTGTGTCTTTCCAGACCTGTATACATATATTTCTTCTGTGGTCCACAAACAAAGACATTTTGAAGGATGATGGTAACCAAACAGTTGTGGTTCCCATTGATTTCCATTGGATGGGCGAACACTGCAATGGAAGTCAGTGGGAACCGAAACGGTTTGGCTACCAACTGTTACCAACATTCTTCAAAATACCTTCTTTTAGGGCTGGAAAATAATTCAATATCAATATGTATCGCGATATAATCTTTTTCAATAACGGTGATATGATTTTTAAACACATTTCCGATATTTCGATATACATTACCAGTTTCCCATACATTGATTTATTTGTGCCGAATAAACATGAGCACTGCACGTTTCAAAATCATAACACGGCGCGGGTGTTTTATATGAATGTATCTCTGAAGGGAACCGACTGTCTTCAGAAAAGTTTCGATGGCATTTTCATTTGATCTGATAAAGTAGCGTTCATGAGCGGAGCTGCTTTGATTACAGCCGTTACTGGAGAAACCGCTAGTTCTATCACTCTAAAAGCGCCTCCTGCTGGCAGAGAATGAGTTTGCATTTACAATAAGCCCGTCTCCAGCAACATTTCCAGTTTTTGTTGTTGTTAAATTTTTTTGTTTTCTGCAGCGACTCGGTTCATACCCTTTTTTTCTGTCTGAAGCACATTTGTTTCAATCTATAAGAATATTCAGCTTACACTACCAGTCAAAAGTAAAAAAAAAATATATATTTTTTTAAAGAATTCTCTTCTGCTCACCAAGGCTGCATTTATTTGATCCAAAGTACAGCAAAAACAGTAAAATGTTGAAATATTTTTACTATTTAAAATTGCTTTCTATTTGAATAGATTTTAAAATGTAATTTATTCCTGTGATCATACATAGCTAAATTTTCAGCATCATTACTCCAGTCTTCAGTGTCACATGATCTTCAGAAATCATTCTAATATGCTGATTTGCTGATTATCAATATTTAAAACAGTTGAGTAAATTTTTTTTTCAGGATTCTTTGATGAATAGAAAGATCCAAAGATCAGCATTTATCTGAAATAAAAAGCTTTTGTAACATTATACACTATTCCATTCAGTATAATTTTTATTATTTTTTTGGGAAAGAAATTATAGAAATTTATATTTTTATTTAGCAAGGATGCTTAATGTTACATTTATAATGTTACAAAAGATTTTAGTTTAGATAAATAGTGTTCATATCGATATTGGAATTATATCGTATCGACCGAAATTAAGAAATATATCGTGATATCAATTTTGGCCATATCGTCCAGCCCTACCTTCTTTCATCTCCCACAGAAGAAAAAAAGTCATACAGGTTTGAACGACTTGAGGGTGAGTCAGTGATGATAGAATTTTCATTTTTGGGTGAACTACAACCAGTTGTTATGTTCAGGTCACTAGAAATAAAAAATATCAACAGTTTAACTAACATTATCTAGCTTAAGATTTAATACACTACACAATATGTGTTCAGACTCGCCTCAAAATATCAAATATGTTTCATCTCCTCTGACAAAATGGATTTATAATCTGAAACTAAAAATCTGGACTGCCAAAAGCCTCTGATTTTCTATTATCAACTATTATCAACTCATTCAGACTGTAAATTGGAGCAAAGATCTGGGCAGAAGTTGTGCAGTGTGTTTACTTAACTGTGTTTATGCTGAAGCATCATAGCTCCCCTTGTGGCAGTGATGAGTATCATAATTCATGAATTGCGTTCTGCTGCATTACTGACTCTAATGACATGTGAAATTGAGTGTGTTTGCATGCTTGTGTAGCGCACGTTTCAGGGCTAATGCTCTGTCCTAATGTTTCTCTACTACTGAATGTCTACTTATCTGCCGTCTGACCATTTTAAAAGACAAGACAAAGACGAGAATAATGACGTGTATTCTTACTGTGAGAACACACATATACACTTTTCTTTTTGCAAATGCATTAGTTTGCATTGAACATTTTCACACTTTAATGATATTTGGTGTGTCTTTGTGCAGCAGCTGACTTGAACAACCGAGATAATGTTCTCCAGTATGATTTGACTGATAATGGCCACATATATCAGTCTATCACTACTAGAAATAGTGCCAAATTTGAAATATCTCTTCTACATTTTGCATCACAACTTGGCTTTTTATGGGTTTTTTCAATCCTTTCAATTTTAAATAAAAATGCCAGATTTGAATCTTTTTCACTTTTTGGACCTCAATGTATCTGCATGGTATGATGTACAGTGCGATATTGTCTCTTGTGTCAGTAATATTACAGAGAAATGAAGGAAAATCACAGTGAAGGAATAACTAGAGATAAATTCATACTCGCTCTGATCATGTTGAGATGAATTTAAATACAAAAAGTTTGCTTTACTCTGTCTTTGCTGCATTAAGATGTAAACAGCCCTTTTTATTGGTAAAAAAAAAAATCACCGCCTGGTCCCACCCAACAAATAAGTCTCATTTTCTGAGAGAGAGATGAATGAATAAATGAATGTTTATTGTTAGGATAACAGGATTTTTTTTTATTGTTTTAGTATCTTATGTTGATAGTCTCTGTGCATTTATGCAATAACTAGTCTTTTAATGCCAATGTTAAACTAACAGAAGTAACTGAAGTAGTGTTAAAATGTTAATACTTTTTACAAGCATCCATAGATTCACTATAGTAAACTCTCTCACACACCATGATGCACACCGACCTCAGAATGTGCCCACTGAGTGCCAGTGATGGGACAAATAAATCCATATACACACATTTTAGGTACTTCTTTTTAATTCCACACAATAAAAGTACTTTTCTAATACTTGGACTAGGGATATGTACGGATTGGAATACTATTAGCGAACTATAATATTATTCATCATTTATACTAAAGACTGTTTCACATACACTTCATTCAAAAATCAGCCATAAGCAGTGTGATAATATTACATTCCGAACACTGCCAAGTGCTCTGCGTGTAACACTGTATCCCACAATGCAACGCAGTGACAAATGCACAGGAATTAATACAACAGACATTCTGCACAAAATTGGGTTAAAAATTCAAAACAACCAAGATGACAACAGGACAGCCTTCGCATAATGAGGTCATGTGAGAATGTAGCGCCCTACTGTTTGCATACTAAATGCTTATGGCTGCATACTGTTTTTGACGGAATGCTGTATATGTGGGTTTTTTATCCAAAGTGACAAATCAGAATAATACAAGCAGAATCGTCTGACCCGAGGGACGAAACAGGCATACCAAATGCTAGAGTAGAAACTAGTATGCCATCCTGAACCTGGCCTAGTTTGCAGAGATGCCTTGACAAAAGGAAATGTCATTTCCACAGCAATTTCCATTTTCGTTTTACTCCTGGAAGTGGTTTGGATGAGAGACTATAAACATATGAAAGCTTTCCCGCCGCATGAGCGGCGCAGATTAACGGTTTTAATGACCCTGATGTCATTAAGTAAATGAAGAATTAGAGAAAGACTGAATTGTGTTTCTGGAGGGAATCGGCAGACGTGCAGAAGGTTGCTCTGTCTGTGAATGCTTGTGCGAATGTATTTGTGTTTATAGTTGTGTGCAAAAGTTTGGGCACCGTTCCCACAATTCATGTTTGGGTGATTCAGACTAGCACTGGCATCCGAACTGAGCATGTGTGAAATTAGCTTTTAAGAAATGCAGCAAATAAACAGCTCGAAAATGAGCAGAAATATGGCTGAGAACAGACATTTGCACACAACTGTATATTTTTACATATCTGTGAATGAATGAGTATTTGTGTGTATTCACCTCCATTAGTCTGAATGTAAAGTGTGTGTGTGTGCGTGTGTGTATGAACATGTACATGAGTAAATGTGCGGTTTGATGAACTTTATGTGTTTCCACATGAGGAATATTCTTCTTCTAACTACAGGGAGAGTTTCTCTCCTTCTCATCACCCGTTTTATTGCTGTCTCTGTAACTGCAATGACCACTGAATTAATCAAATATACAAATAAATTATTAGTTGACGTATGATTTTGTCCTGGAATTTATCAGCTGTAATTAGTTCTGTATCACTTAAATTGACGTCTAAAATCTAACCAGACGCGACACCACAATAAAATGTAGGCTATCTTTTCCATGTTAATTGTATGTAAACAGTATGGTAATACTAATATATTAATTATTTGTATTACTAATTATACAGGATTTATACATTTTTTGTCCTAACCAGACGACGATGATACACGACGAACGACTGGTGATTCTAGAAACGGTTTTTAGGGTAGAGTGAGGGAAAACGCCCCCCAGCCAGGGGGCAATGGGCAATTACTGTAGTCATTCAAATCCTTTGCTTTTCCATCAAATGTATGTAGTAGTTGGTTGAATAAAATTTTTTGGAATGACCTAAAAATGACCTCAAGTTAGCATCAGGTAGCTAGTTAGCTAGCATCAGCTAACATTTTGTTTTAAATAGGCTACTATAATTTTGCAATTCATAATTATTGATTATATTCTTTTTAATTTTAAGCTCAAACTGCCTGTACTCTGATTTTGCTGTAAATGTTTAAAGTAAATTGCTTTGTCACCTGTGGGGCAAAACGCCCCCTTGGTACAAATTCAATTTTTGTT